GTAATGTTACCTGCAAGATTTGCGTGAAAAAAGGTTGTTGTGGGATTGCTGAATGGCTTTGGAAACAATAGGATGATTTGTTGCATGTGCAAGTTTGTGTTGATTGCAAAATTGTTTGGATTATGTCTTTTAAATATTTTTGATTTCATGAATTAAAAGCAATAAATGTATTTGAAATTATTAATGACTATAATTCATGGATTCCTACATTCAGTGTAGCAATTAAGTGATGACTAGACATCTATAAGTTCAAGCAACGAACAATGTTGACGAAGCAGTCAAATGGAAGCTTTTTGAGACCTTACAAGCTTTTAAATGAAGAATCGAGTCACTCTGGATCAAAACTTTATTACTGCAAAGTGGACTTGGTGTATTCAGCTCTCTTTTATTCAAGTCTTACAGGCTTGATGCTGAGTTTCCACCAAACTCAAGCTAATTAGGATCCAAGCTTGAGTTGTTAAGCTTTGAATCGTTCAAATCCTCAAGCCAGCTATTCTAAATATCGACCCTATCCAACAAAAAAAATTCCTGCCATCACAAATGCACAATTTTTAAAAACTTGTTACAGGAAAAGAGAATTTTTTTCTTCTTTTCCATTTTTGTCCTCAACAATAAAATCGAATAAAATTCTAAATTTCATTTTGATCGTAATCTAATTTTCTAACGAAATAAAGAAGCAGCAACAAAAAAAGATGCGAACAAAGAAGGAGAAAATACAATTAAATTTCTTGCTTTTTGTATCTTGCATTCTCAGATATAAATAAAAATAAGAGCAGAAAATTCGCTATCGGGAATAAATTTATGAACGAATTTATTTAAGTCCTCTTATTCTCGTTCCCTCAGTTGGTGTTCAAGCATTTAACATTCTACTCGTAGGAACAAAATAAAAATTGTTGAATGTTTGTAGATGTATAGGAAATAAACAAGGAGCAAGGCAAACTTAAAAGGTACATAATATAACATGAGGAGCAGAACCGTAACTGGGTATGTTCAAAGGAAGGAACAACCAGCCAATCCAGCTCCACCCCTGATAAACAGCAACTGCATACAATACAAAATTGATTTTCTCTTTCTCAATTCCGAAACTGGATAAACCTTTAAAGTGCTTTATCGAATGTTTAAGGCTTATTTTTATTCTATAATCCTCTCACTTATGCTAAATGTGTGTATAGGCACTTTTCCTCCTTATGACACAAATACATATACATGCTCAAGCATATTGTTTATACCGGATAGCATAATCCACGGGCATTTATTCCGTTTATGGAATATTAGTGGTTTATTTATTCTTCGAGATATTTCTTCCACTTCTCTTCATTCGTTTCGAGAGATCACATATTTTATTTACCATTTTGTGAGTGTGCTTTATTGTAATAATGCGGGGGGATTGTGCACATATTATGGTCGAATGTAAGTTGGATTTAATTATGATTCTAGTGCACATCATCCGGTATCTTTTGAGAATTCTTATTAAGTTTAAAATATACAATATTGAAATAATATTCTATGCCATAACTTCTTCATGATCCCTCGAAAAAAATAAGCGCGTGATGTGAATAAAGTTTTTCTTATTGCTGTTGCTGTCGAGGGCTTATTTTGTAAGGTTCGCTGTATTTTGGTGGTTTTGGGTGATGTCTGACTGTCTATTGAACATTTTTGAGTGTAATTTCAGTTTTCAAATCCAAAAGTCAAGTTGTGGTCATAAAAATTTCGCCTTACGGACGGATTTAGAGTACTGAGACCTTTTGATGTTCCGATTTCTGAACCTATCGGCAGCTGAGTATAATTTAGACTTAGCATTTTTATTGATAAAATTCTAATTGAAAAGTTTTGAACAAAAAATGCGCCACAACCTCAACCCAAACTCAAAAATATCATTTCAATCTTCCTTCATTTCCAATTTCGATTCGTTCATACTGTTTACTTACATTTATTCTCTTGAATTGAATTGAATCAGAAGCAGGATGAATGAATTTATGAAGGAAATTCGTTGCTTGTACAAGAACGACCTAAAGGAGTTTTATTTTTCTTAGGCCAGGAACGAACAACTTGCTATGTTTACCGTGAGTAAGAGAAAGAAAATTGTTATTTCTGGCCTTCTAATAATGTTTTTACTTACTTCTTATTTCCACAAATGCCCCAACCCCTCCATCATCGTCGTGTAAATAAAGAAATTTTTTTTTATTTTTCTTTCTGGTTTTCTCGTTTTTCGGGTAAGAAGTCAGATTGTTTTCCGCTTATTGTTTTACAGACTGCTTGATGCGTAAAGAACTACTTTTCGTACCTTACAAAATTCCTTTATTTTTATGTTTGTATTTTTCATTTTTATTATTTTTCATTCTCTTGCCGGCTTTTGTGAAAATTAAACTCCATAAAATAAAATTTCTCGAGCATAGAAATCTAAAAGTTAATGTTCGTTGAATAAATACAGTTGAAAGACTTTTTGTTGCTTTTCTGCTTTCATTTTCTATCTCCTTAACTTACTTTTGCCCTTCACACAAAAATACTTTTCATCTTTATTTGTCTGCGAGGCAAAATGAGGAAAATTTTGTGCGATAAAGGAGTGTCTTTTGATTAAAGATTTTTACTATAAATTGATTCTTGAGGCATGAAACTGGAATTAAACAATTTTAGGAACTGGCTAATACAAGGCTACATTTGACAGACAGTTTGAAAGCTACACTAATCATGTGGATTAAGTTTTTAAGGTTGTTTTCCACTTTTGAGTACCAAATGAATAATTTTTCATGAATAGGAATCGAACCTAGACTATAAACTCTTCAGATCAATATTATTACCAATGAACTATTGCTGATTAATGTCTTGGCTAACAAGATGTTGATTAAGTCTTGCTGATGATAAATATTTATAGACAATTGTCAATAGCCTGCCATTCTGATTAAGTTACTAAGTTGAAATGTTACTAGTTTTGTATATTAAGTTCAGCAAAGTTGTAATCCACACAATGTTGAATATTTAACAATCCATACAACTTATGAAGCATCATTCTGTCACAAATCATTCTCAAAATATCAATCTAGCTTCAAGCAAGTCATTTTTTGCGAGTTTTATTTTCATCTCTTTGATTTTCGAATTTTATTTTTATTTTTTTGAAGTATTTTATATTTGCACAGTGAGATTTTTTTAATCTCTTATTTCCCTTCAACTTTTGATTTGCGTTATTTGGTGAGTATTGAAATTGAAAATGGCAAAGAAAAATTACAAATTTACATGTTTTTTTTTTCTCGAGTGTAAATAGCGACTCATCGTTAAACATGTAAATTTAATGCTTAAACGTTTTTAATGTACAAATAAGCATGAAATTCTTTGTAAATACGAATTTTCCCCATTAGTCAATTTAATGTTGTTTATGAAAAAAAAATGAAATTTTCTATCAATAAACAAAATAATTTCCCAATATGCCTTAATGTCTCGCTTTCTCGCATCAAATTAATTCAAATTTCCTTCTCGTCATTATTTTGCACCCTACCTTTTGTAAATAAATTCAAAAATCGATTTTTTCATCTATTTATTTCCAAAAAAAGAATAAATTTGATATTTATTTACGTTCTACTGTCTTTACATCATAACAAGCACATGACGATGAAGATTTTGATGGGGTGTCATTATGTGTCATGGTATACTCTCGGATATACATTAATTCGTACTTTTTTTTAATATCAAGGGAGAGTTTATAGTTTCTGGACTTATAACCCAGCATCCAAGGGAGATAAAAGAAAGCGATTTTTATAATAAAGTTGATTTAAAAACGCTTTTGATAAAAAAATTGTGAAAATCATTTTTCGATTTAAAAAAACGAGAAATTTTAAATGATTTTTTTTTTTCAATTTTTCTAAGGATTTTTCTCCATTTTCTCACCAAACTTGCCACCTTACTTCCCAAAAAATGCTAAAGAGCATCCAAGAGAATAAAGACAGGCACATCTCGGGTAGGAAAAAAAATTTAAAATTGAAGCGACAAAAAATTTGCATTTTATTCAAATATAATGACCGAAATTAAAAAGTGCTTAAATTTGGATATGAAAACACTCGTAAGCAATTGCTCAGGGAATTGAAAAACGATAAAATGGGATCGAAAAGGGCAATAAAAGTAGAGATAGGGAAATACATTTTTGAATATCGAACGACATAACCATCCATTACTTGATTGACAAAAACAACTTTTTAACACATTTTTGAAACTTGTTTCTAAAAGGTAGCTTTGTTCGGCTGTTCAGCTGCTCGGGCTAAGAAAAACTTTTTAATTAGACATCGTAGAGAACTCGCGTTTGTTTTATTATCTCCGTTACTATCGATTTATCGGCCCATCGAATGCTTAAAAGTTTTGAAACAGTGTATTTATGCTATAATTAATGAATTTTTGTTTTGTTTTCAGTGTAACCTGCCCATATTTTATTTTACCTCTATAATTTCAACCTTGCCTCTATAATTTCAAATTTTTTCCAGCCGTTGTAAAATTTGAATTTCAAAAAACCGTTAAATGATAAACCTTTTCTGTATGGAAATTCATTGCAACAAATTAATAATAAGATAAGCAAATACTGATCGCTTACACAAAAATGCGCTTAAGTCCCTCGATCAATAACACGAGGATTTCTGTATTTTTTTTAATACATTCTCTCGTTTTTCGGTGTCGAGGAACACGAGTAGATGGGAAAAAGAGATATTTTTATGATTGGGGAATGGAAATGCTTATTATTCCGCCTATTTAATGATATTTTTATCGTCAAAGTTTGAGAAGTAAAACGATTAGATTTATTTTCCATAGTAATTTTTATGTCGACAAAATAATTTTAATGAGAAATTTTTTATTATTTTGAAAATTTGCTCATCCTTATGATGATGTCGATAAGAAGTTGTCTTCATGATTGTGCATGCGTCTTGTAAAATTGTATTAAAATTGATTCATATGACATGATTCAGGCCTTCCTAGACCCTATCAAACTTACTCGATGAGTGAATATATTGAATAAATTTACAGATAAAAACACCTTTATTGACACTACGAGAACAATACTAGCAATCGAAATTCGTCACTTGATGGAAGTTGTGATGTGACAGTCATCCAATAAAGATGCAATCGTGGCTTGTAAAAATGAAATTCCTTTAATTTAAATTAATACAAAATAATTCAATATTTTCAGATTTTGCTGATATTTTTCACACTAACATCCGTCAAAGCATATGATGTCTACAGAAACATACAAAAAGAGTATGGATATTTGGAACATTTAGAAAGACAAAATGAAATCAGTACATTACTTAATGAAATGAACGAGGATATGGACTTTGGATTAGAATTCGATGCTTGGGATTCAAATAAAGAACCCAAATACAAATTGTGATACATAAAGCTGTGCCAGTCAAAGAATTAATAAAGTTTTTGATTCAAAATTGAGTAAAGAAGATGTTTTAATTAAGTTTGTTACGTTAGTGATAATTCAACATAACAAATATAATCAGAATTGATAATATGATTCTTTTTGAGTACCACAAATTACGGAAAGAACTAGTTAAATTTTACCATTACACTTAAGCCAAATAAAAGTCATCCACTTAGCTTTCATTTTGTTAAAATTGGACGACGGAAATCGATTCAATTTTATCAAATAATAATCTTTTGAATATCAAGAAAATGACAAGCAAGATTATATTGACGACCTTGTGAGCTATGCGCATTGGTAATTACAGATTGACATTCTTATCTTATCTTTTACTTTCATAAGAAACGAATAGACATGATGCAGACAAATGGTAATAGTTTGAAGTAAAAATGTTTACAATTAGATCAATAAGGTAAGTCGTGGAGTCTAAGTTTGTCAATATCCACAAAATTATTTTTACCTCTTAGATTCTCAATACAGTTGCCCTAAATAGGCTGTCTTTAAATTCCCCTTGGCCACACCAGACCCGCATATATAATTTCTTTAACCATCTAAGAATTCATCAAATTTCAACCAATTCGCGTCACCAGCAAAACAAACTCACACAACACATGAATCACTAAGTGGATATTCCGAGCAAATTTCAAGATAACAAATTCATTTGTTGACATTACGTCCATAAAACCTGTGACCGAATTTCGTCATAATTGACAATATCTTCAACAAAGTGCGAAAGATAAATACACCTCAATATAGTATGAGACATACAATGGAATATCTTTTGTGACGTAATATCAACATGTGGTTTTTAAGTTCTCAATTGAGCTCACAGCAAAGAAGTTTTAATGTGATTGTCATACCGTTAAGATGCGTTCATTGCTTGTAAGTTGGATTTTTATTAAATTTAAATAATATTGTGAAATTTTTTAATTTCTTTTCTTCAGATTTTGTTAATATTTCTCACAGTGGCATCAGCTAAGGTTTACGATGTCTATAGAAACATACAAAAAGAATTTGGATATTTAGAACAATCAGAAAGACGAAGTGAACTTCAAAGATTATTAAATGACATACAGGAAGATTTAGATTATGGAGTAATAGAAGATGCCTGGAGAGCAGACAAACCTCCAACATACAAAGGATGTGATCCAATGATTCATGGAATTGAGCCTGTTAAATGTCCAGAGAAATTTTTCTTTGAAGAGTGACTGAATAAAATTTTGTGATTTTTAGATAATTTTAACTTTTATTGATCAATTGATTTATTTCGAGTCTTATAGGACAATATTCTAATGTCCATAAGATGTAATTAAGGGTTTGGACTACTAATAATAAGGATTTCTGTTCAACTTAGGACGTGGTTGTTTTGCGGCTGTGAAACAACACTGATGTCACTCGGTAGATAATAAGGAATCATTTCCCAAGTAGTGTCACTTGGAGAAGCACTTTAAATCATAAACGAAACATGTGAACAACCCCGACGAGAGTTCATTCTAAAGCTAGTCCAAGAATAGCAGACTTTGTACCTTAATCCATTAAACAAATGAAAGAAAAACTTTTCCAATATTATTCCGATAGTTCAAAGAACACACGAGACAATCTCATGCTTGAAAAATTCATAAACAACAACAAACAAAAAAAAAAAAAGACACAAAAAAATTCCATTTCACAAACTCAAAGGAGGAATAATGGAAAGGAAAGCCAGAAAAAAATGTCCTTTCATTGAAATTCTATTTTCCAATTTATCTTTCCTTCTTCTTAATTCCACTCATATATTTCATCCTCATCCTCACAACAGAAATAAGTAAAATCTGTCATATTTATGAATCCACATTCGATTTTCTTCTCCTTCTTCCTTTCTTCCTCGTATTCATATCTATAACTTACGTATCAAGTCACATAGCCTTCTTTTCCTGTCTTCCTCACTCTTATTTTTATACTTTTTACTTTTTTTTAACCCCTCTGAGGCAAATGTCGTCATCATATTCTTGCGTGATTGAAAAATTCATTCATCTAAAATTGAGTTTGAAAAGTAATATGTGATGTATAATTTTTTCCGGCTGAGATGAGAATATGTCTCAAGTTTCCTTACCCCATGTTTACGTAGAGATAGAGATTGAAGGATCGATAGAGCTAAAAAAAAATAAATGTTCACGAAGTTAACGAATGACTTGTTAATGTACATTGATAAAAATTATTGGAAGACTTTAGATGTTTTTTTGGTTGGTCTTTGACTGTTGATATTGGAGGTTTTAGTCTGCTTGGGTTTTTTGAACTTTTTGGTGAATAAGAGTTCTGTGGATTTTCGTTTTTAAAGTTATATCCAAAGTTGTGAGTCTTAACTTAAGGTTAGACTAGAGTTTAATGTTGACTTTGAGCATTAAGCAGAGCTTGAAGTTGAGTCGAGTCTACTCGAACCCTACCGACTTCGAGCTCTTGTATTAAAGGAAACTGTCTGAAAATAATAATTTTTTTTTATCTACTCAAAAGGTCATAAAAGGTCAAAAAAGGTTAAACTTCAAAAATATAAAATAGACTTTCAAAATAACATGATTCCAATGAGCTTCAAAGCAGACTGTAACGCAATATCGTAAGGATTAAGATTGACTCATTTCAAGGTTTTAAAAATTTCAAAAAATGCGCCCATCCAATGGAAGGAGATATCATATTTTGACGCCTACAACTTGAGTTTCTCTCACAAAAAGAAGACACTTATTTATCTAAAACAATTTTGAGTGAGATGTTAGACTAAAGATACATTGACATCAAGAGAATCTTTTACAATGTCGTCTAGATGCTTGAAATAGAATTATTTTATCAAAATTGGAATTGCTACAAAATCTCAGACTCAGTATAATAATTCGCTCAGTTTTTGTTTAATTTCAATGTGTGTTGATTTGTTCTGTTCAGGGGCATAGACAGGTTAAATAACTATTTTTAAACTTTAAATCACAGTTAATTAACAAAAGCGTATTAGTTTAAATCAGTAACAATAAAAGTAGCTTTTAATAATCAAATTGAATCAAATAAAGAAGGTTTTATTGATTTTTGACAATAAAAAATTTTTTTGGGCACCTTCTCTTGAAAAATCCTGTCTTCGTACCTTGTTCTGTTTCTTATAAAATGCTAATGCAACTAGTCAATGACTTTTGAGTTGAAAAAAATTAATTAAGATCAGCTTAGCCATTATCCTCATTTTCGTTGCTCTTTGTATGACAAACTTCATATTTTCAACTTGAAATTATCAAATCAAGAATAAATAAAACTCAAAAAGGTAAAAGATTTCTGTCTGCCATCTTCATTTACATACAATGCCACAAGATTTTGATTAATTTGATATAAAGAAGATTTGTAGCTTTCTTTGTTATTATTACATACGATTGATATATGAAGCATTTTTGAGTAATATATTATATTCACGTGTCTGTTTTATTTGATTTTGGAAGTTTGAATGTCAAGGTTAAAGATTACCTGAGAAGATAAAAACATCTTAAAGCATTGAAAATGGATTTTTTGGTTAGAACATTTTTGAAAGAATAAAATACCAAATTATCTTGAGATTAATATAAAATGTCTACGAAACTTATAAGGTATTGATTAGTTCAAGCTAGAATGAAGAACAAAATTAGAATTGAAGGTTAAGATTCTGAATTCAACTACTCTATTCTAGGTTCTTCCACAAAATTTACTATGTTTTTGACAAATTGAATCTTATGAAGATATAGTTTATAATATTCTGTTCCATCCTCGAAATTGAATTGTTTCTAAATCATCATCAACAAGTTTTGCTTATCTCTAATGTCTCACTCAAAAAACAATATCGAAAAATGTTTAGAAAAATAAATGGCACAGAAAAAATAATCATTGTAGCCTTTTTCATCAAAGTTGTTGTGTCCTCAAAGACTAGATTTTTTTTTATTTCACTGAGCACCTCCAAATATTTTTATCTTTCGTCCCAAAAAAAAAATAATTTCTTCTTCATCCGATCATTATTATTCAAATGCCATCGATTTATTTTCGATTACCGTTGGTTAATGTCTATATATAGGCACAAATCGAATGAGTGTCTTCATTTTCGGGGGGTAGGGGGGGGGGGGGGGTTGTTTAACTTCAGCTGATACTTCAAGATTGGAACAAATTATTTGATGAAATTGGGCAGCTAGTCGATACTATAGAAGCCAAACAACGTAGTTCTACCATTTTATAACATCCATAACTTATGAACGACCCCTTAACCATAATATTTATTCTTCAAGTACTCTCATCTCATTCGTAATCAGCAAATATCAGTAGAAACACTGGCAAATCTTCAAAGATTTATTCCAAGTTTTTCTTTTCCTTCTCGTCTTTTCTTCCTCCTTTTTTTTGTTTTTCTGTAATGTTTAACTTTCTTCGTTACGAAACCAACCCAAGTCAACTACATTGCTCGAGTTGTATTCAAGAAGAGATGGAGGAATGAAATGAAATGAAAGTAAGTGGAGGTTCTTGAAAGAGAAGCAAAAAGAAAGAATGTAATTGGAAAACCTACAAACTGATTGAAAATGGTAATTACATTTTTATCTGCTGCAAATCTTTTTATTATATCTTTCTTTGTTTCACCGGCTTCGCTTCACTTCTTTCCTCACGCCATCATTGGAGCTGTTTTAAAATGCAGAAAAGATGCTTTTCTTATGAATAGATGGAGCTTGGAAGTAAACGAGGACAGATGGAGAAGGAAATTCGTAGGAAGGGAAAAGGTATGTATACATCCGCTATACAAAGTGAGATGCTTTAAGTATCACGCGAGTATTGAAGGTTTTGATGGATGATGTGGTGGTTGAGGTGCATTTTGGGATCATTTATTGCTTCTAGGAAAATATTTTTAGGTTATTATTCTAAGATAAACCTCCACGGTTCCCCTAAATGATACAATATAAGGTAGCTATTAAATATTGACTAATGTATCTAAAAGTATGCTTTCTCGCTATCGGGATCGGGATCGGGATTTCCCGGGATTTACCGATCCCGATCAATCCCGGGATCCCGAAATTTATCGGGATCGGGATTGAAAATCCCAGTTTTTTAGTTTAGGAAATTATTGATGTTTTAGAACCTGCTAAATACGCGACAGAAGAATTATTGCGTAAATCAAACGATTTATTAATTGCTGAAGGAACAATTAACTTTTTGCTAGACGAATTGTTGCTACAAGGAACATTATTGTCTCAAAAGGTTTACGATATGAATTGCGCTCGCATAGGTGCACGAAGAAATGGAACATTAATTGACTTAATACTTTACCTGAATAATCCTCAATATATTTCTTTAGAGAAGCATTTTAAATCGTCAACAAAAGCTGCAATACATAAACTTGGCATTGACTTATTGAAGAAGTATTTTGTCAAAAACTCTACAAATGGAGCTATGGAAGCTTCAACATCCAGTGCAAATCAAATCCAACCGTCAAACATTTCTATTCGAGATAGACTGAAACTAAGCATATCTGAATATACATCATTAACAACAGATGCAGCAGCAACAGAACCAAATAACTTGAAAAGAGAGTTTAATTGGTATGACAAAAATAAGAAGAGAACCGTTTTATTAGATCAACTTTACGATGCATTGATAACAATGCAGCCGACCTCAACTCAAAGCGAACGAAATTTCTCTATTAGTAACAACATTCTTACAAAACAAAGAAAACGTTTACTTGACAAGAATCTAAATGCAATTGCATTTGTTAAAAGTTTTTTCATTAATGCTTAATTTTTATTATTAAATTCACACCGTTTTCTATAACCTTTTAACTTACATCTTTATCAACATTTATTTTCTATTTTTGTTTATGTTCACATTTTTCAAAGGAAACATGGATCAAAACATCTACCTTGTAACACATAAAGTATAACTAATTAATTAAGGAATAAATGACCGTATAAGTAGCAAAAAAATATATAATTTTTTTTGGGAAAAAAAGCAGAAAAATGCTGTTTTTTAAATTTTTTTACATATTCGGGATTCCCGGGATTTCCCGGGAAATCCCGAAAAATTTCAATCCCGATCCCGATCCCGAAAATTTGTCGGGACCGGGATTTCGAGAAAGCATATCTAAAAGATTATCTCAAAAGATACAAAAGAATCGCTTGTGGAGGTTTCGCATAGCCAGAATTCAAAGTGTCCTCCCCTTGAAAGTTTTTCCCATGTTACCACCCCTTGGACAAACTGAATAA